CATACTGGATCTCTTATCAAAATTGAATACTAAAGAGGGGAAAGTGAGGAGGGGAAGGGGGCTTAAGCATGTACTCACCGAATCACAAAACCAGTCAGATGTTAACCATGAGAAGACGGCTGGAGAGAACGGTGTCTACTTGGTTACACTTGGATTGCATAGGATTTTCTGCAGACGCAATCGCGGCTCTGACCTGGAAAAAAAAATCATCAATGCATTAGTGCACAGGAAATTAGCACAAAGTGGATCATTAGAAAATGATGATTCGACAGGAGGGTTACGTGTATCAACAACACACCAGTCAATGTCACGCGATTTGCTGAAAAACATGACTTAATGATGTAGCGGGCTTTCGCCCCGCTTAAACCCGTCGTCTTTGAGTTTGCCCTAAAGACTCGAGAAAAGGTTTGTAATGGTGAAGCACCATGACTACAACCCACCCTTCTGCTTAGAAAACGTTTTTTGAGGTGGGGGAAGAGTTTCCTTTCTATTTTGCGGTTTTTAGGCCTTTTACTACAACTTATTTTTCACTATGGCAATTTTGAGCTTATTTTTGTCAAAAAAGACCCTCTAGCGCCTAAACGGTTAGAGATAGAGTAAAACGGACGAAATATTCACCCAGAGTACTTTACTTTGACGAGTTACCCCTTAGGGGAACATAATAAAAATTACTTTTTCGAAGAATTTTTGAACCTTGGATACCCCCATTCACACCTGTTGCCAGGATTTGCCGTAGGCGTTTCGTTCTCTAGAAGTGGACCTTAAGATACCCTGAAAATTTCAAGTCCTTAGCACATCTCCTTCTAGTGGAACAGACAGGCACACAGACAGACAGACAGACAGACACACAGACAGACACGAGGTCGTTTGCATAAGCCCGCTGGATAGCCTTTTCAAAGCAGAAGGGCGGGCCAAAAAGAAAAGTGCTACGTGAGAAGTTCTAAAGCAAACATAGGGCTTTTAACCCTTGCCTACCATCCCCGCCTTCCCTTCCCCCGCCCCTACTTCCACCCTACCACTCTCTCGACCACTGCCCTTGTTACATCAACCCCTTCGATCTCAGCGCTGCAAAAACCTAGATTGGCCCTGAGGTGGCAGTCCCCATCCACATGAATCTCACATTGATGCAAGGAACAAATGCCTACCCTCTCCCCCACCCCTCAACATCCCCTCATACTTCCGCCTTGTAAATCACAACGTCAAGAAAAGAC